TAAGCTGTCAAATGCTGCCTTGCCAGGTTGTGACATAAATCAAATGAGCCACTCTACATGTTCTGCCCTCTTTACCTGTTTCAGTCAGTTACGTTTACAATTTACTTTAAATAACTCAGTTGCAACTTCATTTCTCATGAATTAGATTTTATTTCTTGTAATTGTGACTTTTACCCTTGTGCATCCTTATGGACATTTTAGTGTTTTTCAGTTTTCTTTTTTTTTTTATTATTATAATTTTGCCTGTGTTAATGCCAACTGCATAAATTTGGGCACAAGTGTGTATTTTTAATATAATTTTAATATTTCTCCTGCATTCCCCATTAAAACCCATTAAAAATTCAATTTTTAATCCCATGGCCATTTAACTATAAAATGATGCAGTCTTTGTTAATAGGCTTTAATTCTGTTTGCAAGGCTTCAAAATTGAAATTTTTACAATTTTTTACCAGATGGTGCCATTTACTCAGGTTGGGCCTACACAGAAAATACTCACATTTTTCCTGTTTTCTGCTTTTGCTGTATTATAGAGCCAGTTGGATAAATTATGCAGCTATAATTGTGTGGGTGTGTTGGTATGGATGTCAGAGTGTGGTTTGTATGTGTGTCCTAAAAAAAAGTGTGTGTCTGTGTGTGTGTGCACCTGTAATGTTTGAGAGAGAGAAATGATAGTACTGTGAATCACAAATCCCACCGCTGTGTATGCCAGCAGAGCTTTGCTGGAATCTAATGGGAAAAGTTTGGTACTGCACCAAAACAAAATCTTACTAAAAGTTCATTTTTTTTTGAGATATCAAAATCAAATTTGGAACACAACTTGTTTAGATTTATGGCTTTGATTTTCTTGCAATTTTTGAGTTCAACATGTTTTATAAAATATATATTTTATATGAAACATTGCTCATAAACGTAAACCTCTATAACCTTTTTGGTTTCAATTTTATTTTTACAACTTTTTTAACTTCAACAATAATCTGCCAAGGGTCTTCTTTAAAATGAGACCAAACTTAAGTCTGTACTCCCAAGCTTCAAATTTGCATGACAGTTTTTTTTACATGGACATTTTTGTCCTCTATGAACCTATGTGTAACTTTTTTAAATTGACGCACAAGGGTTACATCTCACAATCACAAATTCATTACTTATAAATGTGGATTTATTTCTTGTAATTGTGCCTTTAATCTCACAATTGCAACTTCATTACTCATAAATTAGATTTTATTTCTTGTAATTGTGACTTTAAATCTCACAATCACAAACTCATTACTTATAAATGTGCATTTATTTATTGTAATTGTGCCTTTAATATCACAATTGCAACTTCATTATTCATAAACTAGATTTTATTTCTTGTAATTGTGACTTTAAATCTCACAATTGCAACTTTTTATTTCTTGTAATTGTGACAATCTCACAATTGCAACTTCATTACTCATAAATTTGATTTGTAATTGTTACTTTAAATCTCACAATTGCAACTTTTTATGTCTTGTAAATATGACTTTAAATCTCACAACTGCAACTTCATTACTCATAAATTTGATTTATTTTTTTGTAATTGTGACTTTAAATCTCACAATTGCAACTTTTTAATGTATTTTAAATGACTAAACCTCACAATTGCAACATTTTATTTTTGTAATTGTGACTTTAAATCTCACAGTTGCAACTTCAGTATTCCAAAACATGATTTTATTTCTTGTAATTGTGATTTTAATCTCAAAATTGCAACTTCACTTAAAATGCTATTTTATTTCTTGTAATTATGACTTTAAATCTCACAATTGCAACTTCAGTATTCAAAATGCAGTTTACTTCTTGTAATTGTGACTTTAAATCTCACAATCACAACTTCATTACTCAAAAATGTGATTTAATTTCCTGTAATTGTGACTTTTTATCTCCCAACTGTGACTTTATTTCTTGTAGGGATATTTAATAGGTCAATATACAATAGTATAGCAAACAGTTTCTTACTCGGTGAAGTGTTCACTCTATTCCTGATCTGTCACAAAGCAGCTCTGAATCCATTTTCCCCTCTCCTTCTGATCTGAGAAAAGCACAGAGAAACACACTGAAATTATGCAGGACTGAGACTAAATATATCCTCAGACGTTAGAACCCATCTTGTGGACACTTCGTTTCGCACACATTCATTTCTCTGACATCTTTACAACGTACAAGCCATTGGTGCGATTAATTTCACGTTGTACTGAAACATGGATTCACTTACAAATCAGAGAGAGAATGTTATGGTGAAACTGAGAGTTAGGAACTGTCTGTTCTTCCTCCACTGGCCAGACTAAAAATGCGAGTCATACTCTTTCAAAAGAATCAATTTCCAATGCCTATGTTCTAAATTGAAGATAAGTGGACAAAGGTGATTTTCATGACATGGGAAAGAGAAAACCGAATGTTGCCACTGCAGCTGCAGAGAGCAGGAGAGGCGCCGCCAGCAACCCATCTATAACTGCTCAGTGTCAACCATGAAATTGAATAAAATGTCATATAATTTATAAATGAACCCCTTATTTCTGTTTAGTGTGCCAACTGCAGTCGTCATGGGCAGAATGAATAACATTCTAGGTCCATTCTACAGATGAGTTCTGCTGCCAGACTTTAAGGTTACTGAACAGTAAATATTTTTTTGTTGATTTGTTCTGCCAGTTTGCAATCTTAAAGGAATATTTTACTCAAAAATAAAAATTCAACATTATTTAGTCACCATCTGGACATGTGCCATGGGCACCATATTTGATTTGAGACTGTTTGTGGAGGTGAAGATTATGATTTCAGAAGACTTGGGATATAGTGCGTGAGTCATATGGACTATTTTTATAGTTTTATATATATATTTTTTATTTTTATCCTTTTTGACAGTAGCAGTAGTCTTGTCACAGAATTACTGCAGGATAAAGGGATGTTATTAACATAATTTTGACATCAATAGCAAAACCTAAAGAAAATTACATTATTTTAATTAATACATTCATTTGATGAAAATATAACAAAAATGACAAACAAGTCTAGAGAAAAAAATCTTGTTTTTGTTTATTAACTTGTATTTTGTCCAGAAGCAATGGTTTAGTTATAACACCTTATTGATGGATTTGTTTATTAAAAAACATGCAGCTTTTTGAATCACAAGACGTTAATTGATGGACTGGAGTGGTGTGGATTACTTGTGGATTATTGTGATGTTTTTATCAGCTGTTTGGGCTCTAATTCTGACGGCACCCATTCACTGAAGAGGATCCATTGGTGAGCAAGTGATGCTAAATTTCTCCAAATCTATTCTGATGACAAAATAAATTCATCTACATATTGGATGAGCTGAGGATGAGTAAATTTCAATTACATTTTCATGTTTGGGTGAACTACTATTTCAAAGACACACACCCCTGCAGAAGCTAGCAGTCTGCATCAGCAAGCACTATAAATGGATTCGAGCATTTAAATGCTTTTAATTGGTCCTATTCGAGCCATCACTAAAAACTTAATGTGTACTTTCACCCTAACAGGTTTAGTTTAAGAGTCATTGGGGATGAGACTGCAGCCAGCGTCTTTATTTCTCAGCTATTCTGTTGTATTTTGCTCATTTCTTTTGTCTAGGTTTAGAACATCCCAAATGTTTATAGTTTAACAGCGCACAACCCACGCACTCCCAGCCAAAACCATTTATTGCACCTAATAATGCTGTTTTAGGGGCTGTTATGCTCTAAAATACAATAGATTCAGTCGTGCCTTGAAGGGAAAAATAATCTCTCTGCAATATTATATAATGTATACAAATATGTTTGTACATGGCTGAGACTGAACAACGCATAAAGGCATACAGTGAGAGCCCAAAAGGCAGATGACACTGTACCCTCCCATCCACATCACGGCTGCACTCCCACACTGCGCTTCACAGAAAACACATTCTTTTCTAAATCTTTATCAAAGTACTTTTGATAAAAAGGCATCATTGAGGCCAAATTCTGAATCATCTTTTTTGGGTAAGTAAAATGAGAGAGACAATGAATGCAGAAACAACATATGCTGTAAACACACTGTTCTGTCTTTCCTTTCATGCGTTATGATGACCTCGCTTCGCACTCCAGGATTGCTTTGAATGTTTTTTTTGGAAGATCAAACCACACTGGATGACCTGGCTCTATGACACGTGGAGAATACATTTTAAGCTTCTGAGGGCTAGTCGAGAAATGCACCGTTAACTCTACAAAATGTTAGTATATTATTTCTGTTTAATGCAAAACTGCAATATTTTAAGATGTTTTCACTTGTTAATAGCAAACTAACATTATTCATCGTGTCATTTTTCATGTTGGGAGTTGTAAGGTCACCTATAATGCTCGAAATAAACCTTAGTTAAACCAAGAAACACGTTTGTACGTTCTGCTGCCCTTTAATGCAAGTTAGTTCCTCTGGCGAGTCGTTATTTAACCTTAACAGCGAATTAACGTGAAATACTGAGGTAAAGTGCGTTAGGCAACACCACTGTTTCAGTGGAGATTTTAAACAGTATTTTCTAGATGATAACATCAACTGGTAAGTTAATAATGTAAGTTAGTCGAAGTTAACTAACTTAGTTGAACAAAGAGAAGCATAGTAAGTTATCTTCTCTACTCTGCCTCTTTATCGCAAGTAAGGTAATTCTCTTCAAATGCTATTTAAGTCAGAAAGTGTGTACCAATGTCGTATGTAACTTTAGAGACGGTCCCTAAATTCAGTGACAGACGTAACGTTAACATAAAACAGCGAGCTAACAACCTATATCAAATAATTATGTACCTTCCTTGTAGGTGTGTTCAGATGTAGTATATAACATTTTTATTAACGTCAAAGTGCATACAGCACCAACAAGTTTGACAGTTGAGGTTGAGATTGAGATTCTGTAAACACTGCTTTGAAAAATAATGTTTTTTTTCTTGTGCTTGCAGGTTCATTCAGACAGTCAACATTTGTGACACCAAATGCATTGAAAATCACAGATCAGGTGGAATTTTGGAAAGAGAGTGCAGCCTGAATCCCATCCTGCTGTTTCTCATCGGAGAGCTTGTCAACTTTTACTGTCAAAATGACTGAAATTTCGTATGTAACTTTAGAGACGGTCCCTAAATTCAGTGACAGACGTTAACATAAAACAGCGAGCTAACAACCTACTGAGGAAAACTGAGTTAAGAAACACCACTGTTACGAACATCTTTTGTATTTTATTTTCAAGTTTGTGGTCATGCTGTCTGCATCGGAGGTGTATTGGAGTCTTGTGATTGCCGTCTTAGCGGTGCTAACAACAGATGAGCTTCCATCAGCTTAATTAACTTTAATGTTACTAAATTAGCCAAATTAGCCTCTAGCTGCTGTTTTCCACTAACTCACAGAACATGTTGACTTTTTAAAGAGAGGAACATACTAGCACATGTTGAATAAACATGAGCACTGCACGTTTCAAAATTGAAACCCGGTGCGGGTATTTTTATATCACTGTATTTCTGAAGGAAACTCATTTTCATTTCTTCTTGCTTGCGATGGATCACACTGCACCGACACACTGGCA